TGACAGGCCGGGTTAGGGTATTGGGTTTTGGGCCCTAGGGTAAGGGTAAGGGCTCAAAAGTTAAGCCCTTACACAAATGGGTAGGGCTAGGGCATTGCTATTACCCGGCCCATGCGGAGGCCTAGTAATCACTGCCAAAACTCGAGTCATTTAGAAGCACAATCGTTATAAGATACCGGATAATTTCGTTATTGTATGCTACGCTAGCCAATAACTCCTAATTAATTATTTTACAAATAGTTCGAGTTATTGGCTGCTTCGCATCCAATAACTCTATATTATTTTAAATATAGTATTTTTGCAATAGTTATAGTACTGTAATAATTATAACAATGATTTTTTGCAATAATTCCAATAATACTTATAGTTTTAAAATAGTTGTAGTAATAATTCTACTGTATACAAGACCCGGTCTAGTACATTTCACTAATTTTAAAACCTCTAATAAACCACGGGTATAGTTCACGACTGAGAGTTTATCATAGAGGTAAAAATTTGAAAGCATATACGCAAGTCCTCAAAGTTAATCTGAGTCTTTTTTTATTTCCATTTATTAGAAAGCTTTAAAGTGTATAATTATTATCAAACCAAAAAAAAAAATACATATTTATATTTATTGTTTAAATACAAATCAACATCACATAGCATTCACATAATTCATTTTATTAGTAAAAGCATTATACTATACCAGTGTTAAATCTAATATTCTCAGTGTTCTCAAGAATTTTCGAGAATACAAATTAAAAATCAAAGTTCTCATTTGAAAGTATAAAATTTGTGAATTTACAATATGCATGATTCTTTCGAGAATTTTGATAACATTACAATAAAATCTCATTTGAGAGTATAAAATTTGTGAATTTATAATAGGGGGTTTCAAAATTTGGAAAATCTTATTTGTCTTTCAAGATTTTAAATCGGAGATCCCCATTTCATGAAATCGGAAAATTGTTATAGTACTTCGTAAAAAAAAACAAATAACAAGTAAAACTTTCGTTCAATTTGAAGTTAAGATCAGATTGCCGGATCACTTATTTCAAAATAAATATGTCATCGATTTCAATTAAAATTAGATTTCCGCATTTTTAACTTTGAAACCCTCTAATATGCATGTTTCGAGAATTTTGATAACATTACAGTAGAATTTTTTTTGAGAGCCTAAAAATTTAAACTCATGCTCTTGGAGAACAAAATAATTTTTTTAGATTTTTACTGATTATATTAAATGACAACTTTCTATTTCTAATACGCATTATAACGGGTGGTTCAAAAGTAGCAGCTATTGCTTCATCAAAAACTTTTTTCAAGCCTTTTTGCGAAAGGATTGAGCACTCAACATACTTAACTGCCCCTAATTCTTGAGCGAGTTTTTTGCCTTGCTTTGAAGTTACTGGTCTCATATTGTTTTGTCTCAACTCACAAACCGTCAATGGATCATCCCGCAAATCTATTTTAGTACCAACGATCAAGCATGGAATTCCTGGACAATGGTTTTGAACCTCAGAAAACCACTTTTCTTTGGCATTTTCAAAAGAAGCCGGTGAGATTACAGAAAAACAAATCAAAAAGACATCTGTTTGAGAATACGAGAGACGACGAAGGTGATCGTAATCTTCTTGACCTATTAACCATTTTACCGCCAAAGCAATTATATAATGTATAACATATAAAAGGAGTTAAAAAAGTAAGTTATCGAGAAAAAGTAATATTTGAACGTTTGCAAATATGTATATATATATTCACCAGTAGTATCAAAAAGACCTAAAGTATATTGTCTATCACCAATCATGACAGTAACTTCATGATTGTCACAAGCCTGTATGAATCATTCATATTTGATGAGATGATATTGGTTTTTTTTTCGACAGCCATCCCTGCATTTAAAAATAACTTACTTTAGGAACATATCCGTGAGGGAATTTGCCAGTTTTGTAAGTTATCAGAAGTTCAGTCTACAGTATAAAAAAATAATAAATGAATAAATTAAAACAGTAATTATAAGAAATGAACCCAAAAGAATATTCTCTTACATACTTTACCAACGTCGTAATCACCTATAACGACACATTTGATTATTTGCATTATATCAGGAAGTAAGTTCACGCAATTATAATTAAAATTCTTGATGATTTTACAATTTACTCTCGTTATAGTGATAGTGAAGATTCAATATACTGTATGAAAAATTTCAATTCGATATAATTAAGTGCATATAAGCCATAGAGTTTTTTTTTTTCTCAGCCCGATGACTTCACCATAACGAGTGTGTGTTGTATTTATTGTCCAAGCATAGCGGAGGTCTTACTATGAAGACTTACAATGGATAAGCAGGTATCAAAATTTTATTATGGTAAAATGTGCAGAGCTCTGTAAAGTTATCAAAATCTTCTCTAAAGTACTGTATTTGAAAAAAAAACTTTTTTTCAAATCGCTATAACTCGGTATATAAAGTTATTAGTCAGCTTTTCCAGAAAAGATACATTCCTATAGAAAGTTATACCGATTTTAATATATTCACAGCGCAGTATATCTGAAATTTAACTGCTGTAGTACATAATAACAAATTTGGATTATCATGTAGTCTAAAACCTTGGATGTTTCATAATGAATTCCGAACCGCCAAAAACTACATTGTCATAGTTACCAAATAAGTGCGTATACAAAATTCCCCAAAATAATAAACCTAAACCGGGTGTGAACCATATTAATGATCTGGTAGCCTGGTTTTTTTCTAAAAAAATTGAATTACTTAATTTGCTACCGGTTGTTCAAATCTAACTATGTAATTATATTAAAAGTTTATATTATCTTTTTAGCAATTGTTCACTCCTGTAATTTTGACCAATCAAAATTTAAGATCATGTGTAACGTGATAGTCAATGACTAGTACATTATAAATTTTTTTTTTTTTGCGATATGAAAACAGGAAACAAAGCGATGTTATAGCGTAAAATATATACGTAGTGGATCGTCATGAGCACTATTTATTAGACTTTTATGGTTATTTAAAATAGTTATTTGAATGCGTAGCAGACAATAATATATATTATGACGGTTTGTCCATTGACAATGTAAATCACTCCTTTTATAGTATAGAAACGTAGATTGGACGATTCTTTTTTTGTTCGATTACACAAACCAAAAGCTGAGTTATATCTCAGAAGCTGTTATATGCTAATCAAATTGTAAATTTCGAATAGTAGAACATATTCTTTTTTTGAGTCTTATAGATCATGAAACTATGAACGTTTGCTATTCGCCTATAAAGTTTTTGCAAACGGAAATGGCAAAAAGCCACAAAATGCAATCGACTATAAGCCATTCAAAATTAAATGGAATGATCTAGAATTGATTTCCATTTTTGATAATGTGCCTAAGTAGTGTTACAAGCCGGTTAGGGCAGCCGCGGCTAAGGCAGCTTAGCCGGCTAAGCCAGCCGATATAATATGATCAGCTGGCTAATGCGGCTTAAGGTCACATGACTCTGGTAGTATAATTTAGGCCAGAACAATAATGTCAGGCAGAATTATATAACAGAAAGCAAGGATCCGAAAGTTTCCGAAGAAAAATGAATCAACATCGGAGTAATTTCCGATATCTTCCGAAGTAAAATTTTTTTTGCTTACTTTAGCCATTAGCAGCCGCTAAGCCGATTTTTTTATCAGCTAGCTTAGCCAGCCGATAAAAACCTTACGGCTTGTAACACTACTATAGAGCACAACACTGACGTAAACAATGATCTACTAATAAATATAGACTACTATAGTACTATTCTCTTTTAGCAATTCTTTCAAAATAAAAAGGTAATCCTGATTTATTTATCTAATTCCCGCCCATTCGTGGCATTGTCTGCTGTGAATCTCTTCCAATGTGGAAGGTGAGTAAATACTCTGTAAGCAGCTTCCCATATAATCTTACTAACGCGATATTCTAATGCGAAATGTGCTAGGTTTTGCTTCTTGTCAGTAGGCACAGTCAATTGCAGGAAAAAGGTGTATCACGCACCAAAAAATGAAAAAAGTTCAGTACAATTTTTCAAAAAGTTGCAGATAATGGGTCTGAATTTGAGCAAACGCCTCAATAATTGGAATGCAAGTCATAATAAGATAATTATATAATGGCCTAAGAGCTGGTCTGAACAGTGATGAACTCTTAGTTCGACGCTTAGCGCGAGATAGGACTCTTAGTCTCCAGTGATGAACTCTTAGTTCGACGCTTAATGCAAGCTGGGACTCTTAGTCTAACAAGGATGAGCTCTTAGTCCGCTTGCTTTTTTTGCTCTATCTTGTTGCTAAATATCTTTTAGATACACTAATTATTCTTCGTTTAATAAAGAGCTGGTCTGCATCAGTAGAGAACCTTAAAAAAGATTACACAAAAGTCAAAGTCGACCTTCTGCAGGTAAAGTAGATAAAGCGACTTTCAACCGCAATATATAAATACACTATTTCGGGAAAACATCATCGAAATGCGGATGGTGACGAAAACACCGAAGGAGCTACAACTTCAAAAAAAAAAGGTGAGATCAAATATTGATTAATGTATTAATTCTTTTACAATAGATAAGTGAATATCAACAATCATATATGGTAAAAAATAACCAATTGGCATTTTGAGTCTGAAAGTCAAACAAGTAGTGGAAAGCTGATATAACGAATCATAGTGAATTAGAAGAAACCAAATGAGAATGAGCAGGAAACAACAGATGAGAAACAATGAACGAGAATGAAGATAATGCGTTAACTATTTATTTGATGATATATCCTAAACTAATATTGAACTTAACTAGTGTTCCTAGTTGGTAAAAATTTTACCAATCGACTATGTTGGGCACGTGATTGGGTTAATTGATTAGTTTAGTTGACAGGTTGATATTAATTGATGACTATTCGTAAAATGTGAAATTAATTTCTAGTACAGAGAACTACAGTAGATTTATTTAACTGTTAAAATATTAAAGTTTATCTTTACAGTAAATTAGCATGTTTATAAAGGCTGATGGCGAAGCTGCATGATGTACAGTCAACTCTGTCTATTCCGAACCGTCCGTTCTTATATGTAAAATGAGTTATGAAGCTCGGTTCTCAAAGAGGTGTTATATGCTATTCTGAACTTTATAATAAAATTTACAAATATCTTGGAGTTTTAGGTTCGGATTAGAGAATTTAATAGTGTTCGGATTAGAGAGAGTTGACTGTAGTATACCATCTGATAATTAGTTATATTAGTTAGTTAGCAACCAACAACTACCGTAGTGCACTGACCAAGTACCAGGAGTACAATGCATCTACCCATCAAAAAACTCACAAAAGACCCGGGTATATTATACAGCAGTGGGTCTGTGTCACAAAAAAGAGAATTTTCCTTTATATACATACATCGTATTTATGATAAGCATTCAAGAAATTTAAAAAATTCTATATATGTTTAATTAGGAATGTAATTAGCTTGATTAGCTTGTCTTGGCTTGGCTAATGAAGTTATAGCTGAAATCTAAGCCATAGTTTTAGCAGCTATGATATAAGCTACGGCTGTTAATATGGCTTAACATAATATAAGCCATGGTTTACGTTTTAACATGGCTTAGGCTATAGTTTAAGCCGCGGTTTAAGCTAGTTAAGCCATGGCTTAAATTATATCTTAAACTATAATTTAGAACTACAAAATAAATTAAGGTCGAGTGTTATTTTTCTTTAATTTTACTATGATTTCCTCATTCGGACAATATCTGGAGGGAGGATGCAGAACATAATACAATACGAAATACATAGAGCGCCATAATACCCCAAACGTAATAGTTTTTTAATAGATTTTAATTCGAGGTTTTTTTTTTTAATTCGACTTTTTTTTATTATTCGATAGTAAATCGAATGCATTTTATTTCGCTAAATTTTGTAAATAAATATGCTTTTCCTAAAAATTTTTATATGTGCAACTCTTAAATGCAACATAATATCCGAATTCTCCCATATTTTAAAAATCTACATATTGTCTGCACAGCTGACTTCCTAAATAATAACAATACAAAGTTTTAACTTTAAAAAATAGCTTTAGGCTATAATTGGAGCTGATAATTTTGAGCTGTGGCTAAAACTATCTCTACTCTGGTTTAAGCCATAATTTAAAGCCATAGCTCGGGCTATAGCTCAAGTTCTTAGTTTAGCTTAACTTTGTTAAACTTGGCTTAAATCTATGGCTAAAACCGGCTTTTAGTAAATCTGATAACATCCCTATGTTTATTAAAAGATATCCCATGTTTGCAGCAGGGTACTTTGCACGAGGGTATTGAAAAGGGGGGTACCTTGGTCAGTGCACTACGGTAATTGTAATTGATAGTTAATCGATTAGTTGTTTTTAAAAATTTTAAATCGATCAATCAACTATATGTCAACTAGTTGGTTGTTCAACTAACGATTTGGATCACTAATATCATCTATAAATTTTCGGTCCCTGCGCGCGCTGAAGTGAAATTTATAAATTTTGGAGTACTAATGTGATTCCAAAAATCAACTGTAATCATCAGGGATCGTAAGTTTAATTTGAAGAGAATCTCGTAAACCTTTCAAACATATTTAGATAGTAAAATCATATTTCAGAATATCGCAATGGAAAATAAAGTAAATATTCATTAAAATTTACCTGTAGTATCTGTAGTGTGAATAGATGTTGTGTCAATAAGCCTACTTGTATATACAGCGTTTGGACTTTGTGAAGTAAACGATAGGGTTGGAATGATTTCATCTGCTTTTAAAAATTCATTTCTGGTTTCAAGATCTTTTTTGTCTAAAATTCCAGGATCCTTATAAAGATTTAACCGCCAAGTATATATATCCCTATAAACTTCATTAATAGTTGGTCTCTTTGTTGGATCAGCATCCATGCATCGATTTGACAATTGAATGTAGCAATCTGGAGTTCCTGGTGCAAATTTAGGTCTTAATCCATTTATAATTTTTAATATAAGCGCCTGTTCATGTGATTCATCATCAAATGGAGGTCTACCAGTTGACATCTCGGACATGATAACACCCAAACTATATATATCTGATTCTTTTTTATACTGTTTATTTAATAACACTTCAGGTGCTACATATGGTAACACACCATATATTTCTCCGTATACAGTTGAACGGTCGGTTTTTTTAGACAGTCCTAAATCACAAATATGAGTTTCTATTCCTCCTATTGCATCATCGCTGAAAAGAAGTATATTACCGCTATGAAGGTCCCTATGAATATATCCCTCATTATGAATGCTTGTTAAATCTGATATAATAGAACGTAGGATTTTTAACTTTGATTCCCAACTCAGATTAGCGAAATTCTTAGAAAGGTAGTGCCTAAGATCTCCTTTATCAGCGTATCGACAAACCATCATATATTTTTTTGTACGTATGTTATAAGTTATACCGTATATCTCTATATTAATTTTAACGTTACACATAGCTTCGACCTATTATTATCGTTATAATAATTTTGAATTAAGCTTGACACTTGATCATGAAAATATGAAATAAGTATATGTGTACAGTACCTCGTCCAAAACAAATGATCTATCTTGAGTCTCAAAAAATTCTTTAATTGCAACGATTTGATTCTTATAAGTTGCTGAATATACAGTACTGAAACCACCTTTACCAATTTCTTCAATTTTTTTTAGTTCATCAAAGGGAATCCATTGAAGTTGTGATTTTTTGATAAAATATTTGAATTCTCTATTCGGGCCTTTTTTATTTCCATTTACTAGAAAGCTTTAAAGAACATAAAAAAAGAAAAATTATGCATTTATACATTTATTGTTCAGATATAAAAAAGTCACGTTTATCATATTTACGTACTTCATTTTATGTAGTAAAGGCATTATATCCAATTTATTTCTAGGGCGCTTTATAATAGGTAAATCTGTATTACGAGCAGCAACTACTGCTTCATAAAAAACATTTTTCACACTTTCTTGCGAAAGGACTGAACACTCAACATACTTAGTTGCTCCTAATTTTTTAGCGAGTTTTTCGCCTTGCTTTGAAGTTACAGGTTTCATACTTTGTTGTGATAACTCTTCATTCTGCATTCCTATTTGAGTACCAACAATCAAGAATGAAATTCCTGGACAATGGTGATGAATTTCAGAAACCCATTTTTCTTTAACATTTTCAAAAGAAATCAGTGAAGTTACAGAAAAACAGATCAAAAATACATCTGCTTGATGATATGAGAGAAGACGGTTGTAATCTTCCAGACCTATTAACCATTTCCACCAAAGCAATAATATAATAAAAGGAATTATAAATTACGTTATCAAATTAAAAGTAGGAAAGTACGTTTACAAATATATATTCACCAATCGCATCAAAAAGGCCTAAAGTATATCTTTCATCACCAATTGTGGCAGTAACTGTATAATTGCCAAAAACCTATATAAACATTTATATCCGATGAGATGATATTAAATTATTTTTATAACTATTTAAAAAAACTTACTGTAGGAACATATTCATCAGAAAATCGGCCAGTTGTTAAAGTTTTCAGAAGTTCTTTCTATAATATAAAAAGATAATAAATGAATAACTAAAATAGCTATTATAAATAACGAGCCTATAGGAATATTTTCTTACATTATCACCAACAACGACACATTTGATTGTTCGCATTACACTAGGAAACGATTTTTAAAAAACTGTTGTAAGTTCTTGCAATTAAAAAATGATTTACAATTCACTCTCATTATAGTGAACTTCGGATATAGTAAAAATTCGATACCGTATAACCGTGAAATAACGTGCAGGGTTGTAATTTCGAATTTAGTCTAAATTAAGCTTCATTCGGGCCATTATTCAAATGTGCGTTATTTCGCGGTTATACGTAATATGAAAATTTTGAATTACAGAATTATTAAAGTTCAATTCGATATAGTGAAATGCATAATTCTCTCAATATAAGTTTGGTGCCCGAGCATATGGAGCACTTACAATGGAAGACTTACAATGGATAAGTAGATATCAATATAAAAAATTATGCTTACGTACTTTATTTTATTATCAAGAGCAGCGACTGCTGCTTCATCAAAAACATTTTTCAAGCCTTTTTGAGTAAGAGCTGAGCATTCAACATACTTAATTGCACCTAATTCTTGAGCGAGTTCTTTGCCTTGCTCTGAAGTTACGGGTCTCATATTTTTTTGTCTCAACTCACTAACCGTCAATGGATCATCCCGCAAATCTATTTTAGTACCAACGATCAAGCATGGAATTCCTGGACAATGGTTTTGAACCTCGTGAAACCATTTTTTTTTGATATTTTCAAAAGAAGCCGGCGAAGTTACAGAAAAACAAATCAAAAAAACATTTGTTTGAGGATATGAAAGACAACGAAGACGATCATAATCTTCCAGACCTATTAACCATTTTACCACAAAAGCGATTATATACAATATATAACAGAAAAGGTGTTTAAAAAAGTAAATTATCTAGAAAAAGTAATATATGAACATTTGTAAATATTTGTATATTCACCAGTCGAATCAAAAAGACCTAAAGTATATGGATCATCACCAATTATGACAGTAACTTCACGATTGTCAAAAACCTGTATGAACATTCATATTCGTTGAGATGGTATTAAATATTTTCATAGCTATTTAAAAAAAAAACCTACTGTGGGAATATATTTACTGGGAAATTTATTAGTTGTGTAAGCTATCAGAAGTTCAGTCTACAGTATAAAAAGATAATAAATGAATAATTAAAACAGCAATTATAAGAAATGAACCTGTAGGAATATTTTCTTACATACTTTACCAACGTCATAATCACCAACAACGACACATTTTATTGTTCGCATTATACCAGGAAACGATTTTTTTTTTAAAAAAAAAACTGATGTAAGTTCGCGTAATTAAAAATTAAAATTCTTGATGATTTTACAATTTATTATCGTTATAATGAAGATTCGATATATGAAGAGTTGTATTATTTATTGTCTGAGTGTAGCTTATAAAGATAAGTAGGTATCAAAAAATTTATTATGGTAAATGTGCTGAGCTCTATAAAATTTTCTCTATATGGGTAACAGGGCACAAAATTTCCGGGTGATGCAATATGCGAGCTTATAAACCACCACAGCCGGAGTAGATTTTATACATATCCGCAGATATTAAGAATTACTATTAAATTCCAAAATCTTTAACCATAAATAACTTTTGATTCACTGGTCCGTTTTAGATGATTTTACTATCAAATGACCGTCTCAATGAGACGATCCTAACGAGCCCAAAATCATTAAGGGTAGAGTGTAATCTATAATAAACAAAGTAAAATAATTTTTATATATTAAGTAAAGTTATTCGCAATAACAATTACATGTCCTAAAATTTTTATCAAAATCGGTTAAGATTAGCAAAATTTTAAAAACATTCGTTTGCTAATCTTAACCAATTTTAATAAAAATTTTAGGACATATTAATTTGTCATTGCGAGTAACTTTACTTAATATATAAAAATTAGTTTAATTAGCTTTTATATGTAACAACTATTTGCGATTTGTAATTTTATATAATAAAATTATTTTTAGATCATTTCTAAATATTTTATTATGCGATACACTCTACCCTTAAAATCCAATAATGGGGATCACGAGATAGTAAGGATTTGTGTGTTTTAGGATTGATTAAGCCAACCATACGTAAAACAACCGAAGTGACACAGATCCTTAACGATCTCGGGAGGATTTTAATGATTTTGGACTCGTCTCATTGAGGCGGTCATTTTGATGGCAAAATCATTTAAAACGGGCCAGCGAATCAAAAGTTATTTATGGCTAAATATTTTGAAAATTTTAAAGGGAACAGTATGGTATTATATAAAGTTGATGGTAAATTTGATTTTTACTTATATTTCTCAAATTTTTATTAAGCTAGGAGTATTCGATCACATTGTTTACTATCTGCTATGTAACACATTCGTAAATTAGTCAATCAGATCTAATATCTACTGTATAAAACTTAACCAGAAAATCTGTCTCTACAACTTTTTCTTAGAAATAAAATAAAAGATTTACTTAGTAAGAATTTGGAAAAATGTAAAAATAAACAATTTGCCACTAACTTTAAATGTAAATCATGGTTACATGAACTGTACCTTTAAATAGAAAATTTCCGTCTGGGCTCTAAAATGGTATACGTCATATTTAAAATTGGTATCTGGTATATAAAGTTATTAGTCAGTTTTTCTACGTAGAAAAATAAATTCCTATAAATGTTATATATTTGGATTATTATGTAATCTAAACCCTGAAGTTTCATCATGAATTCCGAACCGCCAAAAATACATTATCATAATTACCGTAACGTACGTATACAAAATCCCTCAAAGTAGTAGACCTAAATCTGGTGTGAACCATGGAATCTTTAAAAGACTGAATTACTTAATTTGCTTACCTTGTGGTTGTACTACCGGGATATCCTTCCGCCGGCTGATTGCTAATTCTGTTTTGGTTACTGATTGTCCGTATTTCTTAATCAAGCCACAGGTTAAGGGATGTCGCGAGATTATTGCAGTGAGTCAATATTGGGGAGGAAGTCGCGTAACTGTTATTGTGTTTGGGAAGTAAGGACCTATCGGCCAGTGGCATATTGGGTATTAAATATTAAAAAGCCCATTTTTACATGTGAAGCATTTTGAGAAATCGAATTTAAATGCTACATATAGTAATACATATAAAAATTTTTACTTCAAGTTCATTTGTGGTTCTTTTTACTACAGTTGGCTCTTATTACTTATGACAACCTTTTTTTATTGAATAGATATCTATTAAAATCAAATAAAAATTTTCAAAATATTGTAAAAATGAGCTGTTTTAATATGTAACACTCATATGTCCAAGCAAAATCATTGGACATAGACAGTCCATGTCCATGTCCATTGACAACACTGGCCTATCAGGTATTAAGGAAAGGGAAAGTAGGAATTGTGAGTGATATTTGAGTTAAATTGTATTGCGTGCAGTTTTCCGTTAGTCTTTAAAAGGGAATTCATTCCACGCGCCTAGTCTTGGCTGCGGAGCTTTTATATGTATATAAGACCTTCCCATCTCGCCTTGGTCGAAGATTAGGTTAGGCCCTCATTTATGAATAAAGGTTTTGTGCGATTCATATCTTAAAACACCATTATTTTAAATCTCATGCTACATGCTACATATTGTTTGTTATTATGGCAACAACTTACATTATTGATTATTTATATTCGTGTACACATCCCTCAGTTCATACTTTTATTGTTTACTATCAGAGTTAAACTGGTTTAGTGTAAGGATGGCTCTCCTCGATAGTAACACTGGATGAACCAGTAAATTATATTATTCTGAAATTTTTCTGCTATTCGAGAACAGCTAAATTGGTTTCAATAAATTTGAATTTGGGTATAACGAATGCTACAATTCAGCGCATTCTTTTAAATTCAAAACATCAAAAAAGAATTGAGATATTAGCATTATTCATTTCCTATTTCACAATAAATGCGTTATCAAATAATGCGATATCTCGTGCCTTTTATGATGTTTTTGGATTTAAATGAATACTTCGAATCTTAGCAGTCATTTAAATCATCGAAAGCAGTGAATTACTTTTACGTGATGATGGATGCTTATTTTTCTTTTGTAAATTCGATTTTTGTTGCTTCAACATTTAACAATTATATTTCAAGAACTAGTGATTCTTTTCTTCTTCTTTATTATCTTCGTCACCCTTTGCAGCTTCGTCAGTTTTCGTCATTTAAGATTTTAATTGATGAAGACGAAACTAGGTTTCGCATTTTCGTCAGTGTGAAACCTCCAGGTTTCGTCTAACAACTATAATCCAATCTATTTCTGAATTTAATTTATTAGGTTTATGCTGATGAACGTGAATAAGTCGGATTATTAAATGTCATACTCAAGAAGCTTTTCTCAATAGCGGCTAAAGGTAGTACAGTATAAATAAAATTGAAGCTTGATCTGTCAAAAAAAGATAATTTTTTTACTAATTAGAATTTTCCAAATTTTTGATTTATCGCATGAGTATATGAAAATCGGTTTCTACATCTTTTTGAAACAACTATAGTCATACATTCAATCATTAATATTACTATTTATTGAAAATCTGTAAAATTCTTTAGAATCGAAAAATCGCCGTGATTTTACATGAAATAATGATCTGCAGAGATCACTTTTTTGCAAAAAAAAATAATAATAATCTATTTCTGTATTTATAAAAAAAGGGAGATTGAAAAATCTTACTCGTCAAATCGTTCTATACTGTATTGCCCGAATTGGATAATATTCCTCCAAAAATCATAAGTGTGCGAGAAACTTCACAGGCGCAATTAGTGTCATAAATAGGTAATATAAAATGTAGTCGTAAGGGTAAATATAATATCATTGCAAATATAAAAGGCAAAATTGCCCTGCGGAAGTAGCTGTCACATTTATAATTATTAGCGTAGTTAAATTTAATATTCTTTTAACCTGATTCCATTTCCGCTTTAATTAGAATATGTTCATTCCCAGAAAAAGATAAAAATTTTATTTGATCTTCATTTATTCTGATTCTATTTTTAAATCAATATAATGTAATTTAAGGTGGTTTTATTTAAGTATTATTTTGAGCTACCGCTGATTTTTTGAAAAGCTTTCGCTTCGAATTACACCAGCATTACAGCTGATCTTACGATCTACATAAAAAAATTTCATTTTTGAGTTTGTGCCACTCGCTAAATAAGTACACACTTCAAACTATATCATTCAATTAACCATATAATAATAAATTATTTATTATTCTACAATTTTATAGACATCGCAAAACCAGCTCACTGCTACTGCATCCTGTGCAAATTGAACCTTGTTGACAATACATAGCTTAATTAGTGAACTTGATATTGCATAAAATATTTTCGCTTGACGAAGTTATTGCATGATAATCAGACCGAGGCGTGCATTGCTTAAACTCCATGTTAATGGGTAGTGCATTAAATATCTAAGATTATTTCAAACCATTATTAAATTTATTAAATCTAGCACATGAAATGGTTTATCCTTGGGTGTATTTCCAGTAGATGTAATGTTAATTCACTGTTGTTTACTATCAAATTGCTCTACAAATAATTATTATATATAAGGATAACCATTAAAATAAATATCATATTATTTTTCCACAAATACATGCTATAGCAGATTCTTTCTAAGGATTGCCAGTATAAGTAAGCTCGATCAATGGTATGGTATTGAACCATTTCCTGCTATTGTAAATGGTTTAGAAACATCTAAATAAAAGAATTCATAGTACCTTCAATATAATTTGCAAAATTAAAAGTTAAATTTAAGAGAAGATAAGAATCAGCTAAAATATGCCGTTGAACTAAATAGAATAAATAACAACTTAAGTATATACTACATAGCTATCTTATAATTATTTATACATGTACTATATTTGTAACGCAGAATAATTCTTGTTCTTAGCGTTAGTATTAGTTTATCATTTACTAATTGGCTTCACTCATATACTTAATTTTAATCTATTACATTTTTACGAAGCTATGTTGAACCGTAGTCTACTACGCCTGCACATTTCAAGCGACGAAATATGCTTCCTAAAGGCGTTGGAATGATTTAATTTAGAGTTTTCATTTAAATTTATAGCACGTACTATCTGATACTAAGTTAAAAATTTCTTAATTTTAAGTTTGTTACAGATGAAATTTTTAGACGAAACCTGCGGGTTTCGTCATGACAAAAGACAAAACTATAGTTGTCTTTTGTTAAAAAGGTTTAAAATGACGAAACGACAGAAGATGACAATACCGACAAAAGGT